GGCAGCCAAAAACTGGCCTGTGTCTCCCTCCAGAGGGAGAAGGGAGTCACGCACCGCAGCTCCGGCGGCGGCACAGCCCAGGGCTCGGCCGGGCCTCTCTTCGCTGGGCAGTGGGGTGGCGAGCTTGGTCCGTGCAGCGGGCTCGAGAGGTAGTGAGGAAAGGTAGTACGGGTCGGGTCGTGACGGCCTCTTGTTTCTCTCAAGACACCGTAAAGACGGCTGGAGGGTCGCGGTCGTCTGCCACGACTATTCATTAATAAGGGGATGTGTTGCTGAGTGAGGAGAATTAAAAGCAGAGTTTTGTAATTTATTTTGCTGTGTTCTGTGCCGTTCAAAAGGCGATGCAGAGAAGTGGAGAGAGGTAAAAAAGACGAGAAAGAAACCTTGTTACAGTGATATGATATCAGAGTTAAGTTCTCAGTTTTGTCCTGTAATTCTGGCCCACTCCTAGATTAGATGGGGATGAATGCATGTTGGGTTTTATTTTCAATTCTACAAGCTAGTAGAATTTTACATATATATATATATATATATATATATATATAAATTTTATATATAGACCAGTTTTCAGAAAAGAACCTTTTGCTCAGTCCTTAACTGTTACCACATCTTACACGATGTTCATAACCAGCTGTCAGAAACAGAAGAGGGAAGTGAAACAATAATTTTCATGTTGTTGTTGCTAGAGTTCTTCCATGCAAGCGAGCATCTGTAGAATGTTTGAACTCGTCTTTTTTTTTTTTTTTTTTTTTTTTTTTCCAAAGCAGACCAAAAGATCCATGCAGTCAAAAAATAAAGAGGCAAAACAAAGGCTTAATGTTGACTGCTCTGCATGGAGTGATGCAGCTGTAGGATGAAATACAAAGAGGCTGGTATTGAAAGGGCAAGTTAAAAGTAGCCAGGTATATGACTGTCACAAGCACTGTTGCAGAAACCACTGCAGTATGCACACATGCCTGATGCTGACTGCAGCCAAATTAAAAGGCTGCTAGTTGTAAAGACAAATATGATCTTGTCTCATTCATTGGAAGCTGATACAATGACTTCAGAATTTCCCTATTTGGTAACCACATTTCTAGATTTGCAGACAGCTAAAAAAATAATTTAGCGGGAACTGGAAAAAGCCAAGATTATGCTTCTGTCAGCACCACAATTTCAGGGAAAGAGATGTATCCACACTAAAGTCAATCCATGGGGGATGGATGCTCCTGCCCCACCAATTTCAAAAAAACAGGTGTCCTGAATACATAGTGGAAAGGGTAATCTTTCCAGCTCCCTGCCTCAGTGTAGGACCACAGGTAATGCTACTCCATTAAAAGCAGTGAAAGCAAACTGTGAAAGCAGTGAAAAATACAACTAGAGCAACTAAAATGCAACTACAGCAGCTGTTGCACTTCAGATGTGGCAAACACCTTGTTACTATAGGGGCACATGTCTATCTTACCTGCATGTACCATCGCACTCAAGTTGACTACATGTCCTAAGACCAGAGGACACTTGCTAATTTCACATTGGTGATCTGCTGTTGCAGAAATCTGGTAAACACATCTGAAGACACAGAACTCTTATCACCATGCAGGAACAATAAAGTCCTATGCAAACAACCAAAGAAAAAGTAGCAGACAAAGCAGTAAGTAAGCTGACCTGTTTTGAAACCAAATAATTTTGTCTGTGAAAATACTGAAAAACGTAGCCTTTGTTTATGTCATGATGCTGCTGCGCATGAGCAGTTCCAAATCTCTTTGTACAACGTCTGAAAATCTGAACAAATCTGCAGTACTCACACACAGCTTGCGTGACACCATGCATATGAAACATGTCCTGAAAGACATGCTTTCAGAAAGCTTCTCTGCTTGCTTTCACAGTATGGTCAACACCCCTGGGAAGAACTGAAACGATCTGTTGCACCTATAGAGTGCAGCTGGTTTTACAGATGCTTACTTGGTACGTCTGACTTATCTCCAAAGGTGCCTTTGTACATGCTGCACATGTACGACATGATAAATTTACCATTTTCTGGAAACACCAGATTGGCAGTCTTTGTCTTACACAGCCTGTATTTATATCTTTCTGACTGGAAAATCCCCAGCTTAATACTGTGGCCTTAGAACACAATGCAGTTATGAACCACAATTATTACATGAATGTTCTCTCTTTATTCCTTCAGCTGGTTTCATTTTTGAGTTAGTGTCACTATTTCTTACTTTTCATCAATTTGTTGGTCTCTTCCAACTGCTAAAAGACATGCATAAAACATGAAAATGGGCATTGGAATTTGCAACAGGTGTAGTATTTGGAACAACTTCAGCATTTCCATTTCAAGGTGAATAGCACAGCATAAAAATCAGGAAAGTAAAAACTTGTTTCTGACTAGTTAAGTGGATCTGTTGTTGTATGTGTATGCGTACTTCTGTTCAACTTGTTCACCAGCATCTCCTGGCATTTTTCCACAAGAATGTTCCCTAGCCAATCTTGTACTGTTGTATGGGGTTATTTCTGTCCCAGGTGCTGGACTTGCATTTGTCTTTGAATGTCATGAGATTTTTGTGAGCTCAATTCTCCTGCCTGCTTCCAGTCTTCTGTGCAGCAGCCTCACCCTCTAGTGTATTGGCAGTTCCTGGCATTTTGGTATCACCCGTTGGGAGAGTTTGCCACTATCATCCAGGTTGTTGGTGAGGGCTGTCAGCAGTTCAGCTCCAGCACTGAACATGGGGAAATGCCACTAGTGACCAGCCACTGCTCTTCAAGCCGTGCAGTTCAATCAATCC